AAAAAAAAAAAAAAAAAACAGAAAATAAAACTAATAAGAAAAATAAGAAAAAATGAAAAGAGAATTAAAATTAGCGAGCGAGCACGTTTTCAACACCGCCATCTTTGGCGATTTTTCATTTTTTTGTGGCATAGCCAAATGCCCTGAAACTTTACAGATCTGTACTTCACATAAAAGTTCCAAAAAATAATATAATTGTTAAGGCCCCGCAACAAAGTGAAAACAAGATTCCTCTGAAGTAAAAAGTGAAAAAAAAAAAAAAAAATAGTGAGTGGCCGAGCACCTTTTGACACCGCCACCTTTGGCGATTTTTAATTTCTTTTGGGCTTAGCGAAGTGACTGAAAAATTTAGGCATGTACCTCACATCATAGAGAACTCACAAAAAAATAAAAAAATCAGAAAACAAAACTTATATTTAGCCCCGAACTATTTTTTTTGCGGGGGCCGAACTCCTTGGTTGTGACCCTGGTTGTGAAGATTTTAAAGAAAATTAAAAAAATCTGTAAAAAAAATTGCTGTCTAGAATTGCTGTGCAACCAACTTTTGGGTGAGCGTCACTTCAGAACAAATTCAGGAAAAGAAAAAAAGAGAACGTAGCCCTTGGGAGGAAAAACCCCTTTCAACCTCAGAGTCTCTAAAACCCATGCGTACTCTCTCTACAAGGCACTCTGCCATATCACATTCAAATATCACGTCCGGGCCTTCTATTCTAATACGATGCCCAGGCATTCTATCCAAAAAAAAATAGGAAAAACAAAAATCTGATTTTTTAAGGGTAAGCTCTCATTCCTTTCAGCTGAAGATCGTAGCTGGTGGAATAGGCACCGGACGGATGCCACAAAGGATGGATTCCGCAGAGACTGGCCCAAAAGGACCTGCCCTTTTTCCTTTTTCCCTTTAAAGATCTGCCAGAAGAAGGAAAAAGGAAAATGGTCCCTGCTGCTACCGGTAGGCCCAAAACCTTTTGGGACCAAAGATCCTTGGTCCCTGCTGTACCGGTAGGCCAGAAAAAGGGACAGGTAGCATCTTTGGTCCCTGCTGCTACCCGTGGGCCCAAAACCTTTTGGGTCGGTGAGTCACGATCGGGAAAACGAACTCGTACCTATGTTTCAAGGGCAGGGGGGGGTCGCACAATTATTCGTAAGATCTCCACACAAATCGGATTCCACCCATTCATCGATCCATCCATCGATTCAAGTGTCCATCCATCCATCGATTCATCTGGCAGTGCATGCATCCATTGATCGTTTACTCTTTGAAGTCTGAGGGCATTGGCCGTTTCGCACACACACACAACGCCACCTCCTCCCCCACACCCCACACCCACCGACCTTCCCATCACCCATCCACCCTCCC